TGAAAAGAGTTCACATTGTGAACTGATGCCTTCTACTAACATGCCGCCACATAAAAACAGAAGAAATGAATGGAATGTAATAAAAGTGGCTGAGTTACCGTGAAAAAAGGGATTAGATATAAACAAAAAAAATGTAAGCTGGTCAAGCGTAGAAACGTAACTCAGTAAAGGACTATAGAATAGGGGGACTGGGAACAACGAATCAAGAAAGTTCCACTTAGCAAATTCACTAATACCTTGCCGGGTACACCCCCACCGGAAGCTGCAATTAAATGAACTTTGCTATAAATCCCTGATTAAAAGTTTATTCTCACATTGTTGATAGGAGAACATTTAAAGTAAGGCAGTAAGAGACGCACAGTCGAACGTTTTTCTTTCCAAAAGAAAACCAACGTTGCTTTATTACCAATCCTACCCAGTTCAACAGTTTGGAGGTACTTAAGCATCGTACTGGGTAAGTAATGTTGATTGTACGATTTGACACCTCTAAGCTGAGATTATCGGAATTAGTGGCTTCTGTAAATTAACATTTTAAAAGTTACTTTTAATACTTAGTATTAAAGTATTAGTAGCAATACGTAGTATGTTAAAAAGTCATTTGATCTAGGAGATTTTTTTTTAATACTGCAATACTAGGTAAGGCTGGAGTGATCATACACTATAAAAACAAAGAAATCGCTAATATGCACGGTGTTTCTTGAGTGGCTAATGTGACTGATAATATGACTGTTGAAGAAACCGAAGTGCACCATATTCTCCTTTATCTAATAATTTAAGATGCTTGATTGACTTTTAGCTTTTTCGCCTTTTTCTTTTTTATGTTTGTACGTTTTGTTTACTCAGCGAACATGATGTGTTCTTGCGCCCCAAAGCACTGTGAGGCGTTTCACTCCTACTTTACTTTGATCACAATTCGCTGTTTGCTTTGTTGTTTAAAATTCAGTATTAACCGTATACGGTCAGGTATCAGGCGAAGAATGAAGTCGATTTCTTGTCACAGTAAGTTTCACTATGCTGTGTTTACAACTGACACTGTTGTTTTAATTGTGCAGTTAAGTGTATTTGTATTTGGAATCTGGGCTGCTCGCGTAGGAGGGAAAACATTTACTGAATTCTGCAAAACGGTCGGGTGTATGCCTAGCCTTCAGGCATGGTCAAGTCCTAGTGATCCGTATCGAACAATAAAAGAGATAAATTATGGAGAATAATATTGGGCTTACGAACGTCGTTAAAAGGATGACACTCTTTGTTACTCGTCAAGCGTGAACCGAATCCACATTCTCGCACGTTCTTTGCTTTCGTTCAATTTCCATTAGCAATATTAAAAATTTCTTATGGAGATAAACCTCACCCCGGCGCACACTACTAATCAGAATGAATGCCTGATATTCGCTGCCGACATACCAAACAAGCATCCTTTCCTAACCAGGTGTAATTGCAAACATGCACCTGGGCGGGGTGTCAATTGTCCGGACTTGCCAATTTCTTTTCCGTCTCTTCATGTTACGAACTTGGCCTTGGGGCTCCTTCTGTACAGTATTAGCGGCAGTCCATTAAGTAATGTGGTAAATAGTTTACTGAAGTGGTTTGTTTATTAACAGAAATTTTGTTTTGCAGATTATATTGGTTAGGTGCTTGACGGACAATTGTATTAACTTAGCAGCTAAGTAAAAAACGATGTCCTCAACTGGGAAAGCATGGCAAGATGAGCTACAGAGTTTCCTGCCACACGCATTGGACTGTGTGGATCCAAAGTGCGTGCGTCCTCTTTGTGTTAACTTGAAGCTTACCCTGAGACATGCACAGCACTGTGAAAAGGGTCAACAGTGTCACATATGTCAAGGAATGAAGACTCTGGCAGCTACTCATTCCAATTCCTGTAGAAATTACTACTGTAATGTACCATTTTGCTTCCAAGCCAAGGTAGCCACGCAGCAGCAGATGTTGATGGACGAACTAGAGAAAGCGACTGAAGCGGTAGTTGATTTGAGGTGTGAGCAAGTTAGCCAGGTTCTTCTAAAACAGGCAGGTGACAATAGTGTCAACGACAGCGTCTTCGACTTCTCTTTTCCTCCAGTGCCTGTCACACAAATATCAACAATTTCACCTGATGGGACAGCTACTGGCCTAAAAAATATTCCTTCTTCGGACCAGGAAGTGAGTTCAGTTGCGGCAGAAAATCCTCCAATAGTCGACGAGGCTCCAAGTGTAAAAAAGAGCGTAATTGATTTAGAGTGCACCAAACGGTCAATCATGGGTGGTTTAGAATTTGAACCACCAAAGAGTGCCCCACCTCAGCAATCAAGCCACAAGAAAAGAAGTAGTGTTCCATCTAAAACAGAACCTATAAAGAAACGATATCAGCAGTTAGGTGCAAAGAAAAGATTGTTGAGGGGTGAATCCATTGACAAGTCCCTGGGCCCACCATCAAAGGTTTATCGCGCGAATTCTACACTTGATTTGTCAGACCAACAGGGATTTAAACCAATGTCCCAGCCGGCATCTCGTGATCAGACCCAGGTTGATCTGCCGGACTGTTACATAGATGAGATGTTTTCGACTCCTCCGCCGTCTCCGACGTTTAAAATGTGGTTTGATGAAACAATCCAAGCCAGTGAAAGTTCACTGAAAAACGTTCTTCTGGAAACTCTGTTTCAGTTGCTGGGTGTTGTCACCCAGCCCAAAACGAAACAGCAGGAAGCTTACTTTGTAGACCTGCTGGAACGCACACTCCTCTTAATGAGAACAGAAATAGCCAAAGAATGACGAAAACATTTCGGAGCTAAAGACATCATGAGAGCGTTTGTAACTGAAAAGTTTCTTTTTATAAAAGAACAATTGTACGCCCAATTTTTTGGCGCAGTTGAAATAATTCTTTTTAAACGAGTGTTAAACTGCAACCGCCGCTTTGAATTTAGCCATGACCACTTTAATCGGTTTCTCCTCGGTTACAATTTTGAGTGTGATAACAGGGACCTTCAGTAATTAACGAAGACGACCACGGCAGAGAAAACGTCACTATCAAAATTTATTTACGTTTTTTCAAACTTTGTATAGCTTTTATTCCAACTGGCAAAAAAAGTTAAATGTAGGTTGATTTCCCAGAAGTTGAATATCGAATTCCTGAGAAGCGCACTCAAGTTCATAGAGAAAAAAAAAATACTTCGTGATGTGTTCACGCCCTCCATGAAACGTAGTGTAAGGAAATTTCACCACGTGGCCGTCAAGAACGGCAAAGAGATGTTCCAAAAAGAGCTGTACTACTGAACGTGCAATATTGTCGTGTTTCTTATTAAACCTATTGCTTTATTCACTTTCTCATTGCCCACCGTCGTCTTCGAATCTTAAGGTTCCCTAATGCTGATGCCATTCATATAAACTATATCGTCGCATATGATTATGCAAGTACACCTTCGGAATATACCTTAGCTGTTAGCATTCACAGATTAGGCAGGTAGCAAGTTCCACTAGGAGTTTCTCACTAGTTTCCGGGCCTTAAAATGCCTAGTCTGAATAAAACAGGGTGGAGGGCAAATGGAGCCGTCCTTACAAATATTTTCCATATTTGGCCCGCCCGTAAAAGCCACAGGAAAGACGGTGTACTCTCTCCTTAAAAGTCAGACCTCCAGTCGACATTTGAAACCAACCTTTAGGTATGGTTTTATTTCGCGATTACTATTCCTGCCTCTAATTCTATTTTGCCTGACTTATCGTAACGGATATCCCATGAGATAAATTTGAACCTGTCTGACTTCTTAATTTAAACGGTCGTGTTTATCACCAGAAAAGGTTAACGTGTGTTTCATTACTTAAACCTTAACTAATGTTTCTTTATATAAAAGAAATACTGTAAAGCCAAGTGTTTGGCGTGGTAAGCATTTTATTGTATTAATAAAGATTGTGTTTTAATCATTTGTTAGCTGGATTTTGGATTTAGGGGCTGTACTCATCGTAAGTTTTGAGGGTAAAATTTGTCGATTGGTCTTGCTCAGAGCTGTAGTGTATAGCTTTTGTGGCAGCGTTCGAAAGGGACGGAAAAGGGGATTTGAGGCGCGTGATCGTGAAAATATCCTTCTTGTTCCATTTCGAACGCCTACCACGTAGGCTACTGTAAGTGCTTGCTACTCAACTGTGCGCAGCGCCATTGCCATTATTAATCCGGCTATTGGATTCTGACAGTCACTCTCGACAAACTAAGGGACACAAGGTTTTGGGTCAAAATGGGACCAATTTATTTTCTATTTTTTTGCCACATACTTTAGTAGTGTAGCTATTGTTTAAGGATTCGAAAATAGTAGCCAAGTCGCTTCATAAATTTGGCCCTATATTTCCGATTATTTTCATTATACTTTACCATACAGAAAAAGGTTTACACTGCCTTTTCTCTTAACCTGTATCATATAAAAATGCCATCACATCACTTTTTATGATAATATCATGGGTGACAATAATTTTATATAAGAAATTACAAAATTTTCATGGCAACGTTCTGTAGTTTCAGTGACAAGATGGCATCCAAGTTTTAAAATGTTTCGAATCCCCTGCAGGCGAATGAAGATGTCTGAAAATCTTATCACAAAAAAGAACTCAAACTTTAACAGCAAGAAGGATTCTAGCGGGTATTATTGTCGAAAACCTGAGAAAACTCTGAACCTTAAATAGATAACCTTTGGTCACCTGTCAGCGCAATTATGTTATACCCATATTACATATGATACTTACAAATATAAGCTTATGTTTATGCTCGTGAAAATTTCAATTGCTTTAAACGAAGGCGAGGGATAAAAATGTTGACAAAAATGAGCGTAAAAGTATAATAGCTAATTCCACTTGTCACAGTTTGCGTTACACATACTTGAAAATTCTCATTGGTTGGGTAGCATTAAAAGAAAATTGGTTTCCGTTCGCTATTGAATTTCTTTAAGCAGTTGTATGTTAAAGGCGTTCAGGAAGGAATTAGTATTTTTAAATAAATAGAGGTTGGCCCTAATAGGAAAAGTGGTGGATTTTAGGGCTTGGTTCCTATCCCGGTTTCCAATATTTTTTCCAGCCCCTTTCGCGGTTTTTGCAGAGGTTTTTGCTGGCCTCCAAGTGTCTTTTTTAGATGCATATCCAAAACTCCGTTATTTCCTCTTGATGCATTGTTGAACTTTGATTTAAGGGTTCCAAATACAGCGTAGCGGCCTACTAGGACATAATTAACCAGAAATATTGTTGGTTATCATAACTTTTGTGTGTAATTGTTAGGTAGCCTGTCTGTAAAAGTGTTACTGATCTTTCTTGTTAAGAATGTTTTGTTATTTATCACTAGTTTGATAGTTTGTCAACACTTCCAGTCCACTGAGTACATAAGTGATTTAGGAACAATCCCACGCAAACGCCAACTGTTGGGGGTTCGAACAAAGATATTGCAGGAATTTAAAATATTTCACGGTAAAATATAAATCGATATTAAAAGAATTTCTAATTACAATTACTAATATATATTTTTTTGAAAAAAGATACATCATATTTGTAAAATCGTTTTTAATGAAGTCCTTTCCCACGAAGACATATTTATGCCCCCAAAAATCGTTACGGCTGTAGCACATTTAGACAATAATTCACGAAAGTTTGAATATCAAAAGAGGTATCAACGGATTCTATATAAATATTGGCTGATTGAAAATTGTTGCGATGGGCACGATATATGATTCCGAAATTAGAGGAATGAAAAGAATGAGAATAGCATTCTTAAGATTCTCAGTCATTGCTAGCCGCGGTTACTTACAAATCGACAGAAAGTCAAGCCCTTTTTTCATCCCACTTGTTGAATTTTTATTTAAAAGAAAACCACAGCACATGTACGTGTATGACGATGAAAGTATTTAAACAAACGGCTGTGTGACTCTTGCAGAAAAGCACGTATTCCAACACTAAAATGCTCTTTAACTGCGGGCAAAAACTTGTGCAAACTCCTTTTAAAAGCTGCCGGCGATGCCGTTTGTTTTTCGGTGATCCGGTTTCACACGGTTGATCTCCGGATTGATCATTGACCGTATCCTGCATTGAGTAAACAGTCCTTCAAAGAATAAAATTTGCAATAAATCTTCACAAAAGCAGATTTTAATTTTCCTTAACAAATGATTTTGGTCGTGCAACTAAATAAAATACAGCTGTGAACGACAATTACAAATTTGCTTAGTTTGGCTTAAAAGGGCAGAAAAGTCTTCAGAGATTTAGCTTCGTAAACTCTGATAGTAATGCAAAGCAGCATGTTTAAACATATCTGAAAGGAAAACTGCATCGGCAAAAGTTCTACGAACACTGGTTCATTCGGTCATACAGAGAACAAAGGTCTCTGTGTCAAAAGGACCATGATAAAAGGAAGTCTCTGACTGAGTCTTTGTTATTAGGACACTTGACCGCTCCTTGGGACTCTGCAAACATTTGAGCTCTACCAGCCGGTATTGCAACTCACTTGCAAATTTCTTCGCCCCTTTCTCTTTCATGCAGTTTTCGGAGCCGTTTCTTCCTAAGCATTCCAACGCAACCAAAATTCTAAGGGACTGGAGACAGCAAACACAGTAATTCATGTACTCGCACGAGATAGTGTTGTCGATCTGTGATCTTCTCGAACGGTGTTTGAACGAACTGTACTTGACCGTAATTATCGCCAATTTGCTGATATGTTTAACTTAACAACTAATAATGTCGTTACAACGCATAGCTAAAACATCAAAATAAAACTAATTATACATGAAAAGAGTTCACATTGTGAACTGATGCCTTCTACTAACATACCGCCACATAACAACAGAAGAAATGAAAGTGGCTGAGTTACCGTGAAAAAAGGATCAGATATAAACAAAAAAATGTAAGCTGGTCAAGCGTAGAAACGTAACTCAGTAAAGGACTATAGAATATGGGGATTAGGAACAACGAATCAAGAAAGTTCTACTGAGTAAAATAGACTGAGTAAATTGACTCTGCCGGATACGCCCACACCGGAAGCTGCAATTAAATGAACTGTGCTATAAATCCCTGCTTAAAACTTTATTCTCACATTATTGATCGAAAATTCGAAGGAGAACATTTGAAGAAAGGCAGTAAGAGACGCACAGTCGTAAGTTTTTCTTTCCAAAAGAAAACCAAAGTTGCTGTATTACGAATCCTACCCAGTTCAACATTTTGGAGGTACTCAAGCATCGTGTACTAGGTAAGTCTTTTTTATTGTACCATTTGACAATTCTAAGCTGAGTTTGTCGGAATTAGTGGCTTCTGTAAATTAACATTTTAAAATCTATTTTTTAACACTCGATATTAATGTTGGTAGGAAAATTTTATTTCTGATAAAGTCATTTGATCTAGAAGGTTTTCTTTTTTTAGTACTGCACTATTAGGCTGGAGTGATCATGCACGATAAAAACAAAGAAATCGCTAATATGCACAGCGTTTCTTGAGTGGCTGATAATTGTGACTGATAACATGACTGTTGAAGAAAACGAAGTGTACCATATTGTCCTTTATCTAATAATTTAAGATGCTTGATTAACTTTTAGCATTTTCTCCTTTTTGCTTTTCATGTCAATCGGGTGAAGATTACTTTATTATTTGTTTATACGATTTGTTTACTAGGAGAACATAGTGTATCGGTTCTCTTTCAGAATCATTTCAAATACAAGACGTACTGTGCAGAGAGTATTTTACCGCAAGTGATTTACCGCAAATTCTGGAATTACCACCCATTTTCAATTATGCGCCCTCTTTAAATTAGCGCCACCTTTGAAAAGGTGGGTCCTGTATTAGCCCCCACTCTTCCTAATAGGGAGTTTTAGCATCGGCGACGTCGACGGCAGCGAAAACGTCACTTTTAAAATGAATTCGCGATTTTTCAAACTTTGTCGCGTTTATTCCAATTCGCTAAATATGTCTAATATAGACAAGTTTCCCTGGAGTTGATTTCTTGGGGACCGCACTCAAGTTTAGAAAGAGAAAGAAAATTTCGTCGTCGCTTGTTTACGTCCTCCACAAAACGTGAAAATAGGCATTTTCACGTCGTAGTTGTGCAGTAATGGCAAAGAAATGTACAAAAAGCGTGATGCACGTGCAAACGTTTTGTTTTGCTCAATAAACCTATTGCTGTTTTGACGTTCTCGTTGCTGTCGTTGCTAAAACTCCCTAATATCTGCCGAGCGGCGGTAACAAACAGCCGACACCATTTTTCGGCTTGAGCCCGTTTCAATTGCGTTGGCATTTTCAAATAAGTAATTTGAGATGACCTTTCTTTATACTTTTTTTTAAAGTAACAAAGCTCAAGTGTACTACAATGGCAGGAATAGAATTAGGAACATCGGGAAAATGGTGCAATTTTCAGCAGTTAGTGCAACATGTATTTCACTGCTCCAATCACGAGTGCATAATTCCGCTTTGTGTCAACACCAAACTTATGATGAAACATTCTCAAGTCTGCAAGAAAGAAAACTGCAAAATTTGTCAGGAGATGAAGTCCCTTGCTTCGAAGCACTCAGAGACTTGTGTAGACCACAGCTGTCGCGTACCCTTTTGCGCCGAAGCAAAATCGACTGATCAGGCCGACTTCCAAATTGATCTGAGCGATTTCTTAGATGCCATAATTGAAGACAATACGACCAGAGGTCCACATAACCAAAGTACCAACGAGTTGGACAGCACTAACGGTGGTTTTCAAACCAGATCAGTTTCTTCTGTATTAAATGCACCCTCAATCAATGATGAATTAATGCAAATGTTTCCACCTCTGTCTAGCGCCATGTCCGATCGTTCACGCGTGGCTGCCGACCCTCTACCACCCGGCTCAGTCTTGTTCGCAAAGCAGAATGCACTACTGAAAATGTCCCCAACATTGTTAGATATCGGTATCAACGAGTGTCCAAGTGTGGCTGCGAGTGAAACTTTTAATCAATCTTCTTCATTTAAAAATCCTTCACTATTTTCAAAGTCTTCGAGTCTTAAGCAACAGAATGGTGGGCCTCTTCAGGTTTCCATGACAACAAAAAGTCGAGTGGCGACCAGTCGTCTGTCGGTACAAGGGCTAGAAGATGCAGGTCTACAACAAAAAGGTTTTGCTGATCGTCTAAGTTGTTCAATCAACCTCAAAAGCTCTGAGCAAGAAAAAGTCCCTCAGAGCCAGCAAAGAAACCGAAACAGGAAAAAAAACCACGGGGACTCGATACATCAGATGAGTATGGGTGATCATACGAAATCCCTCATGGCCTGCCGCAACTACAGCAGCATTACGGGAAGAGAAGACGACGCCACCAGTAGTCAAAGTATTTTACTGAAAGTGCGCTTTATGAACTCGCTCAATAGTATGATGCAACTTATACTAAGGACGAAAACGAAGAGGGAATTGTTGATATGTCTCAATTCATTGAGAAACGCTCTGCAAGAAAGCAAAAGGTTTCGTATTCGATCTAAAAACCATAAAAGGACGCTTCTGAAATCATAAGCTGAGCACTGAATACCCTTTCATTGCAGAGAGTTTTGAATGCCTCAGCCAGGCTAGTTTGTAATGCCCCTAGGTTTTACCACATCTCACCCCTTCTTCGTGGTCTGCATTGGCTTTCTGTTAAAGCCTGGATACAATTTAAGATACTGCTTATTACGTTCAAAGCAATTCACGGTCTTTCTCCTAAATATCTATGCGATTTCAAGTTACTAACATTTAAATCGTCCTTATATAACCTTAGATCTTCAGATAGTATTTTACTTTCTACGCCAGCTGTTCGATCGAAGACGTTAGGTGATAGAGCTTTTATGGTAGCAGCGCCAACGCTCTGGAACTCTCTTCCAAAAGAACTTCGTGCGATTAATAAATGTGAACAGTTTTAAGGCGCATATTAAGACTTATCTTTTTAGAACTTTATATTGGTGAGCAATTTTATATTCAGTTCTGACTTGCATGCATATATATTCTTTTTATTGTTATTAAGATTATTATTATTATTTTAAAATGCATTATTTTTTATTTGTTTCTTGTAAGGTAATGCACTCAGTTGTAATGCGCAGCTGATCATTCTCATGTTAAGCTGCCCACAATAAGTTCATAAATTATTATTATTATTGTTATTATTATTATTAAGAAAAACTTATAACCCATCCATCTTGGATGTCTTGACGCCGACTTGAAGAACACTTACAATGCCGGAGAGGAAGCCTATGCTAATACCGACACGCAAACAAGAACCCAAAGTCAAAATAACAATGCATTAATAAGAGAAACTAATAGTGTAATAAAACGAGTTTTTATCATCATCATCATCATCATCATGCGACCACATCTGGGCTTCTAACTATAGTTAAGGCGGGGATAACTATAGTTAGCTATTTCGGTAATGTGACCGCTTCTGTCAGTGTTCTGTGTTCGCTCTAACTATAGTTAGAAAACTTACGCCCCTGTGATCCAAAACAATACAGACTAACTATAGTTATAGCGGGTTCGTGGGTTAGTCTTAAGTTTACAAACAAACAACCAATCAGAATGTGACACTTTTTTTCGCACGTGCGAGATGAGCGTATATAAATATGCAATATAAAAACCAAGCGTGAAGCGAGGGGGAAACCAAAAATAACAAACAAAAAGTTTAGATAGACTAATTGGAACTAAGTGCCTCAATCCTGTAAGAAATTATCTTCTCTGAGGGTAGTGGGTAGAGCGGGTGTTAACAGAGCTCGCATTCTGAAGGTATTCCTTACCAAGATAAGACCAGTTCTAGAATACGCTGCACCCGTGTGGCAATCATGATTCATGATCCCAAACTACTTGGCTGACGTAATGGAGTCAGTGCAAAAGTTCCCCCCGGAGGAGTCCTATACGGAGGTTGCAAGAAAGAAGAGAAGACTTATGCTATGAATATATGGAGAAGATAAAATCTAGAGACCACCCTCTATTATAAATAACTAAGATGGTACGCGCGCTCTGATTGGCCGAGAGGCGTGTTTGCATGAGAGTATGTAAACATGGTTGTGACGTCAAGATGTTTTGCTTTTCGCGCGCTAATCACGCGAGCACAAATTTGAAAAAGGTTTTGAGTTGAAAAACTCGACAAGCGGTTTACTTTATTTACCCATTTCCTCGTCGGTTGAAACTTGAAAAATCTGTAGAACCATGCTGTGTCAATTTTTTTTTCGCTTGAGCTGACATTTTAAGAGGGGAAAACCCTTATTTTGGAAAGCATCTTTTTTACAAAACAAAGACTGATTACGCATAAGAATTTCTCTTTTAATTTATGCTCGAAACAAGAGAGTATGGCTTTTTTTTCTCGGGAAAGTTATTTTATAAAAGCAACAGAAAACTTTTTTTGTGTGTTTGCATATCCTGATATAAACACTAGAGGGGCCGGGAGAATTCTCGACAGTTATGCAAACCCTAACAAGTTCATTGACTTCTTTGGTGAGAAGATTACAGTTCTGCGAAACTCACTTGACTCCACATCTGATATTGTTAAGGAGTCCGATGCCATTGTCCATCAGTGTGTCTTGTCATGTTTTAAGTTTGTAACATTGTCTGATGTCTCGGAATTACTTAGTAAGATGACCATCAAGTCCTGTCCTCTTGATCCCGTCCCTGCTTCTGTTTTGAAGCAGTGCACATCAGTTCTTTTGCCTGTTATGACTCAAATTGTAAATCAGTCTTTATGTCTAGCTGTTTTTCCAGACTGTTTTAAGCTTGCATTGTTGAATCCTCTTCTCAAAAAGCCCACACTTGATGTTGAAGTTTTTTCGAATTTTCGTCCTATTTCAAATTTGATGTTCATGTCTAAACTTACTGAGAAGGTGGTGGCATCTCAGTTGATTAATCACATTTCTAGTAATGGACTTGATGAAATACTACAATCTGCATATAAACAATTTCATAGTACCGAAACTGCTTTAGTCAAAGTTTTTAATGATATTATCCTAGACGTTGATAGGAAGGGAACGGTTATCTTACTTTTATTAGATCTATCGGCCGCTCTCGATACGGTTGATCACACTATACTGCTTGAGAGATTAGCAAACCGCTTCGGTCTTTGCGATCTAGCTCTGGCCTGCTTTAAATCATACCTGAGCGACAGAACTCATTTTGTGAGCATTCGTGGTGCGCGGTCTGTCACGCGTTCGCTGTCGTGCGGAGTACCACAGGGCTCCGTGCCTGGACCGATTTTATATCTGCTCTTTACCTCCCCATTGGGGGATATTGTCAGACAATACAACATGGGCTATCATTTTTATGCTGATGATACTCAGTTGCATCTGTCTTTCAATTCTCTCAGTGGGGATGATCAAGCTTATTCTGTCTCTCAGGTTGAATCTTGTGTTAGAGATATCGACCGTTGGATGTCTTGTAACAAACTTAAGTTGAATAGGGACAAGACGGAACTGCTCGTTATCAGTTCAAAATATCGGCCACGCCCATCTTTAGATAGTATCCTGGTCGGTGATCATCGTGTAGAGCGGTCTGACAAAGCTAGGAACATAGGAGTTGTTTTTGATGAGACCTTGTCACTGGATAAGCATGTGAGTTCCGTTTGTAAATCTGCTTTATTTCATCTTCGGAATATCGCGAAGATTAGAATGTATCTGACTTCTGAGAGCACAAAGACTCTCGTCCATGCTTATGTTACTTGTCGTCTGGACAATTGTAACTCGTTGCTCCTCGGGTCACCGGAGTATATATACTGTGTGGAGCAGCGAATGACCTTTAAAGTATTACTGTTAACTTTTAAAGCTCTCAATAATCTAGCGCCTCCGCATTAAAGTCAACTTGTAGTCCCATATAACCCTACTAGAAATCTTAGGTCAGCTAGCAAACATTTATTAGAAGTACCGAACGTGCGCCTGAAGAGCTATGGGGACAGGGCCTTTTCGGTCGCTGCCCCAAAGCACTGGAATGATATTCCCTTAGACATTAAATTAAGTGGATCAGTTGTTGTTTTTAAATCTAGATTGAAAACTTATCTTTTTAGACCCGCTTTCAATTGACTCTTTGTTTTAGTGCTATTGTTAGTTAGTTATTTTCTTTTTTGATTGTAAAGCGATATAGAGCTTTTGTATATACCGCTATACAAATAAAGTTATTATTATTATTATTATTACTATTATTATTATTATTATTATTATTATTATTATTATTATTATTATTATGCAAACCCTCGACTTCGTCTCGGGTTTGCATAACTGTCTCGACTTCTCCCAGCCCCTCTCGTGTTTATATCATTCTACGCAAACACGGAAAACGTTTTCTATTGCTTAATTCAAATTGCTACCTTGGCCTGTTGCAGGTACTTGTAATTACAGGCTCAGAAAGAACTCTGAGAAATTTCTTCTATTTAATGGCTCAATTACTTGTAGGACCAAGAGAGCAGATTCATTTTTGACATTTAGATATTTTAAGTAAACTTTTAATAGTAATATTATTATTGATAATCATATTTGTAAATATCTAAATAAATTTGTTGTATTTTTATAGTAAATTTTGTAATTAGTATTGTAAATGTTTAAGCTCACCAACAAGTCAGTATTAATTTTACTGCACCGAGTTTTAATGAACTTAACTTACTATATAAAACTGACAGATGACAGCAAATTTGGATCTCACCGTCATCTATCACTATTACTGTTACTTGTCTTACGTTTGAATTTTGTGGTTAGTTCGCTCTCTCTCTCTCTCTTTCACTTGTACAATAAATAAGTAACAAGCTTCGACATTATCCGTGGCATTATCTTCGACATCGTCGTCATCATCATCACTTACACAGCTTTCGCAACACGACACGGAAGAAAGAAGAGGAAACAACGTTCGGACGTGACAAACGTTACAGGGTTGAGTCTTCTGTTGCGATCTTCACTTAACTAATTACTGTGTTCTGTCTGCTCTGTTCTTTTCCCAAAAAAACTGCTTAAAGGAGGGTAAAGTTTGCGGAAAATTTCTTCAAACTGACATAATAGTTCACAAAAGGTTTTGCCGTCACTATACTTCTGTCGTCCAATTGCGTAAGTTCATTATTACCTCCGAGGCCTTGTTTACGCTGAAGAGTTAAGTTATTTTGTAGGTTATTTTTCTTTTTAATAAGAGCACGTGAAGGTGAATCCACCCCACCCGTCATAGGTGTGGTATCCATGAGTAATGTTCTTGCGTTTCTTTTCATAGAACTTCTCAGGTGTGGAAATTCCACAATTAACAAGGTTAACAAGTAATATTATATCCATTTAGATATCTTGTTTAGATCAGAGAAAATATGTTGGTCTTATTTTTGGTCATTCATGACTATTGCCTTGGAATTTCTTTTTCTACTCAGGTTTAACTTCAAGGAGGCTTAACTGGCT